AAGCCTGAGCCATTAGGTCAAACAGTTTAAATAATATAAGCGTCTGTCCCAACAGTTCGAGTTTCCACCTAAAACCTCATTTCTCTAAGCATTGCAAGCTCTGCAGAAAAGTTGGAATGACGGCCTTTTTCAGTTCTGTGAATAATCCTGGCTTCCCTCCCTTCCGGCTGATGTGTAGCCATTTGACGTGGTTACTTGAAAGGAAATAAAACTGTAAGCTCCCTTGTAGTCATTCTACCTTTTCAACTTCTTTGTTCCACAGAGGATCAAGACATCAATTAAAACCTTTTGTCTGCAAATAGAAATGTGAAATAAGAGAAAATGACAGCTTTGTACTCTCTGTGAAGATTAGTTCATGCAACTCTCATTTCATATCATAAATGAAAAGAACATGGGGAAATTACAGTACCCGATTCAGAAACTTGACTTCCTTTAGGAAACATGAGTTAGAATCAAGACAATGTTAGACGTTATGTGGTTCAACCTCTGTTAATCAAATTATAACAGCTAGTCTTCATTGAGAACGTTTCCTGTGAGGCAAGCACTGGTCTTAGTAATTATACCTCACAACAAAACCCCCATTTCTCCATTGTAGAGATAAAGGAAACAGGCACAGAGATACTGGGTTGCATGGTAACATTGTAAGTGGCAAAGCTGCCTAGGAGGTCTGATGTGGGCTCTCAAACACTGTGATAATTGTAACTCATCTATACCATTGTATAATGGGCACAATGACTCACTTGGTCCCTAAATGTTACTACTACAACCAAATAATACTATGGTATAAGATATTTCACTTAGAAGTTGATATAAAATATGCAATGTCCATTCATATTAACAGCTTAGCACAGCTTAGCAGCCTCTCTGTCTCTCTGTCTCTCTGTCTCTCTGTCTCTCTGTCTCTCTCTCTCTCTCTCTCTGTTTGTGTGTGTGTGTGTGTGTGTGTGTGTGTGTGTGTGTGTGTGCATGTGTGTGTGTTTTTAGGTGCTCATACACCTGTGTGCACTTGTACGTGAAGGTCAGAGATCTACATCCAATGTCTTCCTCAACTGCTTTCCACCTTACTTATTAAGTTTCCACTTTCCCAGCACTGGTATTACAGCTATGCTTCACTGTTCCCAGATTTTATATAGATACTAGGGATCAAACTCATGTCCTCAGAGCCTCACTGCCAATTTAATAACAACATGCTATACTTTTCTTTTTTCTTCATTTTTAAAAGTTGTCTGTCTGTCTGTTGGTCGGTCTCTCTCAGTCACTCTCTCTGTCTGTGTCTCTCTGTCTGTGTCTGTCTGTGTCTCTGTTTCTCTCTGTCTCTGTCTGTCTCTGTCTCTGTCTCTGTCTCTCTCTCTCTGTGTGTGTGTGTGTGTGTTTGTGTGTGTGTGTGTGTGTCTGTCTGTCTGTCTGCATATGGGTGGCATAGACCACAGAACACACATGGAGGTCAGAGGACAGTTTTGTGGAATTGATTCTCTCTACTTTTCATGAGTTTCAGGGAACAAACTCAGGTCTCTAGGGTTTCCAAGCAAGTGCCTTTACTTGTTAAGCCATCTCGCTGGCTCTTGCTTTGTTTTTGAGACAGGGCTTCACTCTGTAGCCCAAGCTGGCACTGAGCTGAGGAGCTCTTGTGTAAACTTCTCCAGCACCAGGATAAATGGAGGCTGGTTCTTAATGTGATTTTTCCCCCTAGTACTTAGAGACCCAGCCGAGGTCCTTGGACATGCCAGGCAGATGCTCTCCTCCTCAGACCACTGCCTCCAGTCTGTATTTCATTTAATCACTGCCTGTATTTAAAGAGCTGGATCTTAGCTAATCCGTGATAACTCTCTGTTCCAAATAAGCAGTGTTTACAAGACAAAACAAAACAAAAAACAAAACCAAGCAAACATAATACAAGCTAAATGCATCTGGTTGCAGAGCCTGATGTTTCTGAGACCTAGTCTTCCATGAATGGACCTTCCGCGCCAGCCTTTACAGTGCTGCGCTGCAGGTATGCCTGGGAGCAACTCCCTCTGTGTATGTATATGGACCCACTGCTGAGGTGGATAGGACGGATTCAGCTGAAGCCATCCCATGTGTCGCCCTCTCTGCATTGCCCCTTCTCTGCTCCTCACAGTCAGTCCTGGCTGTGAACCTGCCGTCAGCTTGGTTCCATCCTGTCCACTGAGTGTGTGAACGATGAATGAACTTCCTGCACATTTTAAAAGGAAAAGTGTCATAGATTTCCAGTGCTTGTGGGAGCTTGGAATTTCATGCTCTTATGCTTTTGGGTCCATTCACTCTTGTTTCTCCATCTTGTAACTTCAAAATAAATGTTCAGTCATTTGAAGTTTTGGGGCCACACAAACAAGTGCTCAAACTTCCCTTGGCTGTTGAGGTTTGGTTTGGGTTCACCCAAGACTGATGTGTTACAAATATCACCCAGCCCCAATATTCAGTAGCAGTTTCCCTGACACGCCTACTGTATAAAACCTTAACTCTCACAGACCCCAGTATTCAAATCCTTTGTGTTCTCAGCATTAGAACAATTGTGCCACATTTCTACTCGTTCTGGAGCCAAAGCTGTCATAATTTACTGTTATATTTTCTTGATTGTCCTCAAGCTGTCAAAATGTTTGCAGTGACTATCAAAACATGCCAAATTTATCTGGGGCAGTGGGCATGGGACACACTGGAATCTTTCAGACAAATGGGATCAGACGAATAGCAAATATACAAAGATTAAAAAAACAAAATGCAGTATTCCCAGTGCTGCTGAATATGATAGATTTTGTTACACAGAAATGATTGATATTTATACAGGTAGAATCTGAATTGTTATACCAAGCAGCACCAAGTAGGTTTTCTTTTGGGCTGGGAGTGGGGGGGGGGGGGTTGGGGGGGGGGAGAAAGCTGAAAGATCAGAGAAACAGAAAAAGCCACAGCCAATCTCACCTTACCAACTCCTCAGCCTCCAGAGCAAGACTTCCTGTTTACTCACACCTTATTTACCTTTCTGTACCCTGCCACCTTCCTTCCTTCCTAGTGCTGGGATTAAAGGGGTGTATGCTTCCCAAATACTTGGTAGCAAAGTCATGAGATCTCAAGTGCTGGGATGAAAGGCAAGTGCCACCACTGTCTTGCCTCTGTGTCTAATCTAGTGGCTGGATCTGTCCTCTGGTCCCCAGATAAGTTTATTAGGGTACATTTTCAATAGCAAATGCCTTTTAAAAGTTAATTTTACTTTTAATTCTCTTTCTCTGAGTGTGTGTGTGTGTGTGTGTGTGTGTGTGTGTGTGTGTGTGTGTGTGTGTGTATATACATGTCTCCACAGAGGCCAGAGACATCACTCCTTCTGGAGTTAGAGTTACAGAAGGATGAGCTGCCTGCCATGGACCTGAATTCAGGTCCTCTGATGGATCTTTCTTTACAAAGGACTCTTAGCTGTTGAGCCATCTCGCCAGCTACCACATCTGTTTTCACCTTGTGATAGCTACAGGTTAAAATCTATGCCAATTAGAGTTCAGTGTCATTGCTCGATTTCATGTTTTATTAACTTTAAGACTGAACTCCAAAACATTATATGTCTGCTCCCAATGAATACAGACACTTCAAGCACCCCCAGAAGAGCTTGTGGAGCCCCGAGATCACATCTTAGCAAGCATAATGAAGCAGAAAGGATAGAGGTTTATGTCTGTCTAAATTCCACAGCACTGAATGGCACTCTTTCTTCCTGCATTTGAAACTTCCAATTTCACTTTGGAGTATGTTAATTCATTATACATAGTTGCAGAATTCCAAATTAATTAGCTAAGGTAAGGAAGAGGAAATTATTCATTTGTGGTTACCATGTGGTTTATTTTCTATATAGAATGAAAACAAAAACCTCAAATTGTGCTTTGATGGGCATTATTGCATGAAAGAACAAGAGGCATGGGAAGTGGGTCCCTTGCTGTAGGATTATAGGCCAACATAGTGCCCATATCAGATCTGAAACGGGCTGGGTCACTTAGAGGGAGGCAGAAGTGAGACTTCACAAACTAGACATATGTGCCTGCATTTTCTTAGTTCTATTTTCTTAACAAATACAAGGACAGTTATTTACCAGGAGGGTTAATTTAATCATCTGACTTTTCTCATTCGTAAGCATATGTTTTACTTTCTGGCAAAGTATATTAAATTCTAAGAAAATACGCAATAATCAATTGTACTTTTTGATAGTGTTATTTTTGTGTATCAACTTCAAATTGTTAGTATGTGTCCCAAAGAACTGAAAGATAATGCTACAAGAGCACTTGATGTTAATTAAGCCTGAACCTGACCCTATTCAAGTCCCTGTTTGACTATTAAATATATTGAAATGTGTGTGTGTGTGTGTGTGTGTGTGTGTGTTCTTTCTGTGTGTGTGTGTGTGTTTTTGTGTGTGTGTGTGTGTGTGTGTGTGTGTGTACAGATATACATATATGCGTACAAGTATGTGGAAGCCATAAATCAGTCTCAAGCATCGTTCTGCAGGGGACATCCACCATATATTTAGAGACAGGGGCTCTCACTGGGACTGGCTGATTCACTGACTATACTGGATAGATGGCCAGTGAGGCCCAGAGAACTCTGTGTCTCCAGTTCCCCAGCACTGGGATTCTAAGTGAGCAACCTGTACACCTGGCTTTTCACATGGATGCTAGGAATCAAACTCATGTCTTCAGACTTATGTTACTGATCCTCTGTTAACTTAGCTATCTCTCAGACATGCTATTAAAGGATTTTTAAACAAAAGTGTGCATTTTATGATACTGCCCCTTGTGAACAGCCCAAATCCTCCGGTCAGTCAGCTTAGCACTTACCTCAAAGACCTGTTGTATCTTCATGAAATCCTCCACACAGAGCTGATTTTCAAGGAGGCCTGTGCCATAGTCTTCACTCACAGTAACACCTTCTGTTTTTTCAAGGCATGTTGTCTCCGGCTGTGGCCCCTTGTTTAATTCAAGTGCAACACCAGGGTAACCCCTGATAGCTTCACCCTTCCTCAGCATCCTTCAACCCTCTGTGTTTGTCTCTTTTGTTGCTGCTCTGTCCTTCAGTAGGTGCCTTTGGAAAGGGGCCCAGCTTAGACTAGCATTTAAAATGAAAGTTCCAACTATATAATGAAGCAAAATGTTTAAACAAAAACATTTTGCCCACTCACCCACCCAGTGATGTTCTTGCCCCCAAAGGCCACCTTGCCAACAAATGTGGAGTTGTTTGTTCCCTCTATCCTGGTGTGTTTGTGTGTTTCCTGGCAACCAACATTAAGCCAACTTACTTTCCCTTTCCCTCCCTGTGCCCGACCAATGCCTGAACTGAAGGTCTGAATGTTTGATGTCGTTTTTAAGTTATGTTTTAGAAGACTAGTTCACCTTACTCATTTTCAATTAAGGTACGTCCTCTATTATTTAAAGACAATGCTGAAAAATATATTTTCTATGAAGCATGGCTATATGATTAGCCAAAGAACAGAGCTTGACATTAAAGAACTTTATACTTTCCACTCACAAAATATCTTATTTTTAATTAATAAAGGTCTGCTCCTTATATTCCCTTTGTTATAATATTCATGTACACATGTAAGGATAACTCAGAAAATATTCCAACTCATTAAAACTGTAAGAGAAAGGAAAAAATATCATTACTTGGAAAACAAAGACAATTTTACTACATTGCTACATCTATCTTTACCATCCCCATTTCAGCTAATAAACATGAAAAGGAGAAGTGGGGTGGGGAACAGTAACTTGTAGCGCCCGCACTACTACCAGTTCACCATATCCTAGCGAGGGGCTGAGGATTAAAACAGCGACAAGACAGAGGGTCATTCGTCTCAGTAGAATGCCCTTTATTGACAGAAGGAAGAGGCCTTAAATACACGCTTACAGCACAATGGAAGAACCTAGGAGGGCAGAAGTTCTCTACAGATGTTTTACATTCTAGCATTACACCAATATGCAGGATGCGCAAGAAAGGAACCTCCAGTAAGCTGTTTAGAAGAAATGAAACCGGCAGGGAATTAGCATAGGGAGGACATCTGATCAAGGTCATCAAGCAAGGCAACAGCTACCCAAGGAACGGGGTCAGGGCCCAACAGTAACTGCTGGTTGTTTTACTGTGGTTGTGTTTTTCTTGTTGTGTTCTTGGTGTTGTTTGGGATTTTGTTTGTTTGGGAGTAGTTGTCATGTCCATTTTCCAGGAACTACACTTGGAAATTTCCACTCCTTCCTTTACTTGGACTCCATACAACTTTACCAAGCATGCAGTATCATTATTCCTACTTTATGAGTGATGTGACAACATAGAGAAATTAGTAAGATGTGAACCACAGCATAGTGGTTCTCAAGCATCAACCCTTGTATTTCAGATGGTTATTATCTTATTTTCATCTTCTTGAAATGAAAACATGGCAGAAGGGCTTCCCTTGAGTCTGGTCCAGCTGTAAGGGTCTATGAGCTCCACAGTGCATGGTCATGCTGAGAGCCATTCCCACAACACAGAGGAGGTTTTCTGCAAGCTTCCTATGACAGCTAACAATAAAATAAAAACAAATAAAAATTAAAAAAAAATTCACTCATGCATCCATCCACTCATTCATATATTTATTATATGTTCAAAAATCCATAAGGTTTATTTAGACCTAGTGCCTGATTTCTGTGAGGCTTACAGTTTAATGGGGCAATTATCTATCTAATTTGTTTTTCAAGACAAATCTAACCTCTTGCTGCTTACAGTGTTGTGTTCAGAAAGACTCTGAAGACATGTGTGCAGAGGAAAGGATGGCATTACAGATTACAGATAATATATCATAGATGCAGAAGGGCAAATGGGAGAACTTACAAGTTTATCTTTTTTGTGTGTGTGTTTGTGCATGCTCATATTTGTGTGGGTGCACATATATGTGTGTACATCAGGAAGCACCCACCTGTTTTTTCTTTCATTTTACTAAGACCAAGTCTCTCCCTGGCTTGGTCTTCCCAAATAGGGTCATCTAGCTGACCAGCATGACCTAGGGATCTTTCTGTTTCCTGTCTCTACCTATCCAGGATTGGGATGATAAGCTTGTGCACCACGCCTAACTTGTGTTTAGGTTCTGAGGATCAAACTTGAATCTTCAGGTTTGTAAAGCAAGGACATTAACAGTGGAATAATCTCCTCAGCCACAGTATGTACCTTTCCTGGATTAGCCTCCCTTACACATTAGGAAAACATTTTTAGGAGTGCAATCATGTATGCCACACTAAGCTATCTCAAATGGGAACAAATTTTGTCTGCCTACCACTTTATTGGATAAGTTAACAATGGTTTATATCAGCTAGATCAGTTCCATGTCTGTTTGTAAAATATTTTATAGTGATATTCTATAGAGTTGGGCTTTGTTCAGTAACAGATACTAACGAGGGAGGGAAGAGGGAAAAGAAAAAACATCCGCAAAGCTACACCAGAAGAGGCAGGTATCCCACTGGCTGATGATGCAAAATTCCCTAATTATTCTAAGACCATTAAGCTGACTGGCCTACTTAGCTCCCATAAAGATGTATCTCTAAATGTTTTCATTGCTAAGACAGCAATGTGTAATGAGAAACTAACTAATTGTGCTAGGAACTAATCAATTCACACAGTTGTCTTTCTGGAAAATTATGGCAGCAGAAATCATTCTTGATAGTAAAGTCTTAAACAGCTCTAATGTTCATTATGGTCGTATGGGTAATTTTCAGGTTACATTTTCTTAGTCGTGTAAAATTCATAACCAAGCTCTTAATTGCTGAACTTGACCTCCTTTGCTATTTTCTGTGAATCAATTAAAATTCAATAAGGAAAAAACAGGATGAAGTCTATGTGTCCAGTGTTGATATTTTGCTAAGGCAAAGGACTTATAAATTAATAATGGCTCACTTCTCCTGCAGGGATAGGCCAATCTCCACCAGCACAATAGAGCACCCAAGGGCCAAATGGACCCACACACCCACCTGCTTTTGCTTCCTTTAAAATCTTGGGACTTTCCACTGAGCAGATGCCCCATCTGTGGCTTTATGCTTACACTCCAGACCATACCCAAATCCCTTTGCTTTTTCTGTCCTGTAATTACTCTGGAGGGAGGTGAATTTATGCTCCTCTGTTTTCCTTGCCCCCTGTTGCCCACTTCTTTGGACTGGAGTTACAGCTAACTTTCTTCACTCTCACCTAGAATTCTCTTCCCATCTCCTCATTGGAAATGGTTCAAAGACAAGGCTGCTGCTGCTTCTCTGATCCAGGAGAGAGTTGCTTCTCTGATCCAGGAGAGAGTTACCTCCCCACTAGCTTCTTGTCTTCCAAACCTATGCCTTCCCAACATGACCACACTGACCAAGCAGTTAAAAGCAGCTTCCCCCTAGAGGCCATGGTGGAGCATGTGGTTAACTTCATCTTTTTAGCCCTTGGGTAAACATTTATTTCTTCACTCCTCTGTTCATCATCTTCTAGGTACAATTAATTGCCCCGTCTATTCTGCAAATACAGCATTTTGTTTTATTTTTCTACTTTAGCAATAACCGTGTTTTTCTATATCATAACATAGCTGTCTGTGTCTCTCTTCCCTACTAGGGCAAAACACCTTGAAAACACGACTTTACCTCAGGAATGCCTGTGACCTTACATTGCCCTTCAAAAAGCTGATCATCGGTTATACAACAGCAGTGATGTGAGCTAATTCTTTGGACAGCATGAGCAAAAGCAAAACTTACCTATGGGTTACTACTAATCAGCAAAGGGCCCTGAGCACAGATAGCACTGAGTCAGAAAAAGAGGCATAATCTGATCAAAAAACAAACAATATTTGAGATTCTGTCATTTTGATGGTTGGTCTTGACTGTGCATAAATTCTGTCAACTTGGCAGAATTTAGAAGCACCTTAAAAATATACCTCTGGAAGGACTTGTAGGACATTCTCAGAAAGATAAGGTGAGGGGTAGGCCTAGTGATATTACTGCAAGATACTTAATGTTTTATCTTTTTCCTATCCCAGTACATATAACCTCAGATTGTATACCATACTAGGGCAGTGATACTAAGAACATTATGAATATCATTTCATCCAGTTCTCTTGCAAGCCCCATGCTATGCCCAGGATAACTACTACCAGATTTTAGTGAAAAAAAAAAAACTGAGGCATACATAGATACACATCAAGTAACAAAGAAACACCAGGGCTGGATGAAATCCAAAATACCTGTCCATACACTTCCTCCTTCAAATTCCCAGAAAGAATAACCTGCTAAAAGCCACAGCAAATTCCATTCCAGTTTAGGAACTAAGCTTTACTAAAAGGAAGGAAACATGAAAGTAGATACTAGGCAATGAAGTGGAAGGTGCTTAGGATCCAGAGTCAGGTCACGCTCAAGTCTTGGTTCTTCTTTTCATTCCTATAATCACAGCTAGGTTGTATACAATGAAGATGGTAATACTGTTTAACGTATAGAATAATTTTCTAGGCTTTAATGGAAAACTATAGTGAAAACTGAAATGTATAATGGAAACATACTATGTGCACAAGTTAGTAACCGTAAAGAAAAGGTTCCTGAGCCAGGCAGTGGTGGTGCACGCCTTTAATTCCAGCACTCAGGAGGCAGAGGCAGGCAGATCTCTGTGAGTTCAAGGCCAGCCTGGTCTCCAAAGCGAGTTCCAGGAAAGGTGCAAAGCTACACAGAGAAATTTAAAAAAAAAAAAAAAAGAAAGAAAGAAAGGAAAAAGAAAAAAGAAAAGGCTCCTGAAACCTTGTGGAGATGTAGTAGGATTTTGTACAGGACTGGAACATTTTAATTGTAAATTACAATGAAGCCAATTTATCTATATCAGGGCATGCCATGTCTACACTGAGATTCTGTAACTGTTTTCATTGCTCCTAAGAAGGTCTAATGTCCAAAGCTATCCCAGAGAGCAATGTCATATCAGTATTTCAAGATCAGTCAAAAATGCAATGAATGATGAGAGGTATAGGGGTGAAATGAGTTATCATTTTGTAAAATCATTTTCATCCTTAGCATTAGGCAGAGCTAATGGCCATTTGCAGTGGTCTTTACTGAGATGTGGTCTGCTTGATACTCTGAATTTGTTTTAAACTGAATATTTTTTAAATTTATCCCTCCTCCCTCTCTTAGACTGAACTCCAGATGCTCCACCCAGTGTCTAGCTGTGGATCTGCATCTGTTCCCATCAGTCACTGGATGAAAGCTCT